TTAAGGTCAGAAGAGGGATGTCCTTCTGGTGTGGAACTTATTCATTTCACTCCACAGATTCTTAATAGGGGCCAAGTCAGGACTTTGGTCTTCACTAAGACTAAGCTTGAATCGTGTTGGAAGACAAAGTTAAAACCCAGACCAAGTTTTCTGCTGACTGCTTATGTATTTTTCCCAAACCATTGGATATCCTTCCTTTATTATAATTCTTTCCACCTTAAAGGTCTTGTCAACTCTCTATTTCAATAAATCTGCTCAGATCTGGTATAAATAAATGCCTTGTGAGTCATTCTCTGTTGATAAAAGGTTCTGGCGCTCCTGTTTCAGGGTGTAGAAGTTAGTTGAAGGAGTGAGGGGTGGAAATTGATAAGATTACGAGTCTTATGCATTCATGATATGCTAATGTCTCACCTCTGATTGGCTAACAGCAATGCAGCTCTTCTGCTGCCGCCGTTCCCTCTTCTTTCTGTAGTAAAAATGAGTGTTGATGTGTTATCTCTACAAGTATCACAAGCCCAAACGTGTTCCAACTTGTTGTGCGGTTGCTAATGCTAATAGTTAGCTTCTACTAGCCAAGAGCTAAGGTGGGCAAGGCCCTGAATACTAGTTTTCCCAGTGAAGTAAAAGAGACTGGATTTTGCTGACTTGAAGAATACTAGAGTGAGTCACGTTTAAATCTGTTCTTTATCGATGGACTTGCTGTTTCTAGTCTGAACTACAGACTGATTTGCAGAGGTGTGGACTCAAGTCACATGACTTGGACTCGAGTCAGACTCGAGTCATTATTTTAATGACTCCTGATTTGACTTGATAAAATCAATAAAGACTTACGACTTGACTTGGGCTTGAACGCCAATGAGTTGCGACTTAAATCGACTTGCGTCTGTTGACTTGATGATGACTTGAGCATATTAGATATTTTAGCACAAAAGTGGCACGACATGGACAAAACTCATAAGTCATTCTTGGTTCTGGGTTTGATCTTGTTCTGCTAACTGCAGCAGCACTTTGTTTAGAATCAGTTGCACTTTCTGCTTGTTTGAGCAAATAAATGAAGCTTTAAGAAGCTTTATTCCTGGTATTTATTTATTATCATTGTCATAAAATTGAAGTTGGACTGATGACTTGATTATGACTTGAAAATTCAAAGTTATGGACTTGGACTTGACTTGGGCTTCCACATAATTGACTTTAGACTTGACTTGAACTTGGTTGTCTCAGACTTGGACTTGACTCGAGACTTGACTGGAAAGACTTGTGACTTACTTGTGACTTGCAAAGCAGTGACTTGGTCACATCTGTAGTGATTTGTTTCTTGCTCGAATAACATAAAGTGAACTCGTCAAACCGGGACGCTATGTGAACTTCTGTCTTTGTGTGCAGAATGCCCTACAGTTCATCAAACAGTGCTGGAAGATGCAGGGACGTCCCCTCTTCCTGGTTCTCATCCGTGAGGATAACATCAAGTAATATTCACACACGCTCTTTTATGTTTTTCTCCACTTGATTTGTTTTGTCTTCCCTCTCCTATCTCATGCATCACTCCCTGTCTGTAACAATACTCAATACTGACTCAAACAAAATGTCCTCGGTTCTTTGTGGACGTCGGACATTGTTGCTGGTCGTTTCCACCTCCTTTCCTTTTGTGTGCACCATTTATCTTCATTGTGAAAAGGTGTTACTGTATTTGCTTGCTTATTGGGTGCTAATGTTTCTCATTTGTATCACTGTAGCCTTGCTGCTGGGCTGATCACTGCCGTATTGACTATAACCCAGGGAGACATATGTTAAATGTGCTACAAATGTTTAAAGAGCCTTGCTGTAGATTTCAGAATGAGTCAATAAGCTCCCATAAAGGCAGCTCAATAGTCATTAGCTGGGTATTGATCCGGGTGATGACCTGTACAGTAGGTGACCGAGGACTGACTGAGTCATGCACACAAACGCTCAGTCTTTATCTGTTTTTCTTTCATTCAGTTTGGAATAAGAAACTCTTTTACCTGTGTTCAGAGGAAAAGGACTAAAAACAAACTCTCGTCCATCCAGAGGAAGCCGCTTCAATCCAGTCCTGGACATGCTGGCATCATTCAAGAAAGGCATCATAGGAGGAGTTAAAGTTCATGTTGACCGACTTCAGGTGTGTGAATTCATTGATTTAGTGCAGTTCTAGAAACAATATTTGCAGTCACATTTAATACTATGTTTTATATTCTTTAATTTATCCTTAATAAAGGAAACCAATCAACCCTGAAACATCAGAGCGGTCCTAAACTTAGCTTGTTGAGAAATAAACAACATTATGTAAAATGACGACAACACAACGAGAAGCCTAACGATCGTATGAGGTTAATAGTCTGACAGGATTATCCTCCCATCCGACACGTGACTTTTCTTTACTTCATTCAAACCTTACCCGAGGACAAAGACTTAATCAGAAAAAATGTACCTGGAAATTAAACACATCACATCATGTTATGATGCCATGCACTCCCAAATACACACTAAGACACAATAATGCCATGCAGCAGGAAGGCATGGCCAAAATCAACATTCCCAGACAAGCCCCCGGTTGTCGGAGGCACTGGGGGCGCCTGTGTACAGCATCATCACCTCTGTCGATGTTCCCTAGGTCAGCTGCGGCTACAATGTAGCTCCTCACCATCAGTCTGTGAAGGACTGTTGTGCTGTAAAGGGCCTTGGTAGGTTCTAGGACTTTATTCAATTTAAGCACAGGTCCTTCACCATAAAACTGTCCATTTAATGAAAATGATGCTCTCATGAAAACACTCACTCACTCACTCACGGCTTGGGACCATTTAGTCTCTGGTCAACCTAACCTTTCATTTACAAACTGGCTGTGCTACAACACAGAATACAGCCATCCGTCTGTCACCGATACTGCAGCACCCGTTAAAGGACAGAAGTGAGTCTTCCATGGATCCGTTTATGACATTTCCAAAAGGAGAACAGATCCTGCCCATGCTGACGCAGCGACACGCTCACTTCCAGGCTGCTCTGAGATCTGAAGCTCATGATCCTGCATTAATCACACCTATAGATCTCTTTAGATCATAACGGTTCAGCAAACTAAATGGCCACAGAACATTTAAACAGGCGACAGAAATGTGCTGTAGAGTAGGTGGTCATTATGTGGAGTTTATGTTTAACTGAAATGTTCTGTAGGATATTTAAACAGAAAAATTTAGTCTGGCTTTTGCCAGATGTACGTCGGTATTTTAGATTGTGTATGTGTTTTTTTTTTTTTTTTCAAAATCAGCTTTGGTAGCAGACATTTACATCTTGGCCATCGGCTTAAATGCCTGATTGATATTGCCGCCACTTCTGGTCTTTATGTGATTTATTCCCCCTTTGTTTATTTAAATATAAATGTACTTGTTCAGTCATTGCATTTGCCTACCCCTCTTCTTAGAAAAAAATCCTATTTTCAGTGCATTGCTGTGTTTTAATCTCTAATCTCGGGTTTTGTTTTACCCGCTGAGATGTACCTCCATGAGAAACCCAGATTCCTCTGTAAGACACGAGTTTGTGGAACAAACTAAATACAAACAGAAGATGGAACAATTGGGGCCAGGGTAGAACTAGAACGGTTTCCCCGTAGTTAGCTTAAACAACTTCTTTGTTAAACTCATGAGAGCTCGTCTAACTTCTCTCCCAGAGTGTTTGTGATGCTCGGAAGAGACTTTCTCACACCATTCACTTTTTCTGAACTAGAAAGTTTTTTCTTCCCTTTGCCTATTTGCTTTTCACGTCACAGCTAACTCCCAAAGCTTTGAACAGCTTCAGCTCTTGATCATCTCGTTGTTATGGAGAGCACAATTGTCCGTCTCCTACATCTCTTAATTCTGTTTTGGAGCTGACTTCAGTTGGAATGGTTAATATCACATGTAGACCTCAGGAGGAGGGCAAACTCAACTGCCCTTCGTTTTTCACCCCTCCACGGTCACGCTTTTGAACTATGCCAAACTTTACTCATCATGCTGTATTAGACACCGAGTACTTCAACTGAACAGGTTTAGAACTCCATCCCATCACTTTTTCTTAAACCTTAACTCATTCACTGCCAGCCGTTCCCTGATCGGTAAAGCCCTTCGCTGCCAGCGTTTCTCACCGTTTTTACTGTTTCTTTAAGAGTCACAGAACGTGGCGTGCTAGGGTGATGTCGACGCCAAAACGACCCAAACAAAGCGGAGACTCGCCTCTTACATCAGGAAGAATCTGTGCGTTTCGAGCGTTATCCATTCTTTCATAATCTGTTGTCGAATTGTGACCGGCAGAGGCTTTTCTGGTTCGCGCCTCACTTTTTTTTACAGGAGCGGCCCAAAACGATCTACTAACACATGGATTTCCTGCTTCCTGATCACGTGACGTGTGACGTACACGGATGAAGATCGGCTTCAGAGCTGAGATGTTTGTTCTCTCGGCACGGGGCTCGTCCGACGCCCACACAGTAAAAAATGCAAATGAATCGTCATCGGCAGTGAATGAGTTAACAATATTGTTGAACCAATTTCTCTACTGAATCCCTTGACCACCCTTCCATCTAGGATTTATAGAACTGCATTTAGGAATTGGTCCAGGACTGGAATAAGAGCTTTTCTACTCATCAAGTGTTTTCTTCTTCTTATCGATCTCATAGACCCTGATATCGGGGGCGTTTGTGGAGCAGCTGGACTTCCTACGTGTCAATGAAGCAGAGTAAGAACTTCCTGTTTTGTTCATCAGTGTTTCACAATAAGATATAGAGACTCTGTCAACCTGAGGAAATACAAAACGTTGATTTCAAGCACTTAAATCTATGAAAGTAAAACTATATCCTTACTAAAGTGGTCCAGTGTCAAAAGTAATATGGTTGGTTTGTTGGTTTCACTCCAGATATAATGGGAAACACAATTTTAGAATATTTTCCCAAAAGTCTTTGGGATCATCAAAGGTGCGTTTCTCTTTGTGCTGCTCTTGGATTCTCCCATCTCCCAACTATTGTTGAATCATGACCTTTGACCTTGACCTAGTGAGATCTGTAGATTTTTACTGTTGTGTCCTTCTGTTCTTGAAGGTCTCTCACAACAGGACATATTGCTTTTTGAGATCTTTTTGCCTTTTTTGTCAGAAAGGTTCTATTGAAGTGATATTTTACATCTGCATGTCTGGAAATGGCTGGTGGAAGCACACTCATCTTAGCACATACTATTAATCACACTTTTATTAAAAGGAGCCATTTATTATTTCACACGGAGTTAGGATGGTTTGGACAGATCTTCATATGAGAACAATATTTTGTATTTACTCTCATTATCCTTGTCAGAAAATAAACGTTTGCTGATCTGAAAGATTGAAGTTTGACTAAAAATCAAAGAAGCTGTAAGGTGGAAAATGCGTTTCACTAGATTCACTAAATTCATAGATTTTTCAAAAAGCTGATACCAGCATTGGTTTGTGCATTTTTTAAATAGTTATTGTGCAGAAGAATTGAAACAAACACAAACTGTATATTTGTTCAAAGGATTCCAGAGTTTAAGAGCTTTGAGGAGCTGGAGCTGCCGAAGCACTCAAAGGTGAAGAGACAGACGAGCACACCAAACGCCTCCGACCTCGAGCAGCAACCTGAGATCAGCGTGGAGGAGTGGCAGAGAAAACCCACCCATGAGATCCTGCAGAAGTTTCATGTGAGTTCAAGAACCCAAGGTTGAAAACTGTTGAATAACCTATTTAATAGAAGAGTAGCACATTGCAGATACAGTAACTATGTGATTTATTGTGGGAGCTGGTAATCAACAACATTTTAAACCAGCGGTTCCCAAACTTATTTAGCAGCGCACCCCCTTCTATGTCCCGACCAATGTTGACACCCCCCCATCCCCACCCACATCAGGGCACGGCTATATATATATATATATATATATATATATATATATATATATATATATATATATATATATACAGGTGCTGGCCATTAAATTAGAATATCATCAAAAGGTTGAAAATATTTCAGTAATTCCATTCAAAACGTGAAACTTGTACATTATATTCATGCAATGCACACAGACCAATGTATTTCCGATGTTTATTACGTTTAATTTTGATATTTATAGGTGACAACCAATGAAAACATCAAATCTGGTATCTCAGAAAATTAGAATATTCTAAAGGCCAATGAAAAAATGTTTGTTTCTCTAATGTTGGCCAACTGAAAAGAATGAACATGAAAAGAATGTGCATGTATAGCACTCAATACTTAGTCGGGGCTCCTTTTGCCTCAATAACTGCAGTAATGCGGCGTGGCATGGACTCGATCAGTCTGTGGCACTGCTCAGGTGTTATGAGAGCCCAGGTTGCTCTGATAGTCGTCTTCAGCTCCTCTGCATTGTTGGGTCTAGCGTATTGCATCCTCCGCTTCACAATACCCCATAGATTTTCTATGGGGTTAAGGTCAGGCGAGTTTGCTGGCCAATCAAGGACAGGGATACCATGGTCCTTGAACCAGGTGCTGGTGGTTTTGGCACTGTGTGCAGGTGCCAAGTCCTGTTGAAAGGTGAAGTCTGCATCCCCATAAAGTTGGTCAGCAGCAGGAAGCATGAAGTGCTCTAAAACTTCCTGGTAGACGGCTGCATTGACCCTGGACCTCAGGAAACAGAGTGGGCCAACACCGGCAGATGACATGGCACCCCACACCATCACTGACGGTGGAAACTTTACACTGGACCTCATGCAACGTGGATTCTGTGCTTCTCCGCTCTTCCTCCAGACTCTGGGTCCTTGATTTCCAAAGGAAATGCAGAACTTGCTTTCATCAGAAAACATAACTTTGGACCACTCAGCATCAGTCCAGTCCTTTTTGTCCTTGGCCCAGGCGAGACGCTTCTTGCGCTGTTTCTTGTTCAAGAGTGGCTTGACACACGGAATGCGACACCTGAATCCCATGTCTTTCATGAGTCTCCTCGTGGTGGTTCTTGAAGCGCTGACTCCAGCTGCAGTCCACTCTTTGTGGATCTCCCCCACATTTTTGAATGGGTTTGTCGTCACAATTCTCTGCAGGGTGCGGTTATCCCTAGAGCTTGTACACTTTTTTCTACCACATTTTTTCCGTCCCTTCGCCTGTCTGTTAATGTGCTTGGACACAGAGCTCTGCGAACAGCCAGCTTCTTTAGCAATCACCTTTTGTGTCTTGCCCTCCTTGTGCAAGGTGTCAATGATTGTCTTTTGGACAGCTGTTAAGTCAGAAGTCTTCCCCATGATTGTGGTGCCTTCAAAACAAGACTGAGGGACCTTTTAAAGGCCTTTGCAGGTGTTTTGAGTAAATCAGCTGATTAGAGTGGCAGCAGGTGTCTTCTATATTCAGCCTTTTCAGAATATTCTAATTTTTTGAGATACCAAATTTGGAGTTTTCATTAGTTGTCACTTATGAATATCAAATTTAAATGTAATGAACATTGGAAATACATTGGTCTGTGTGCATTGCATGAATATAATGTACAAGTTTCACGTTTTGAATGGAATTACTGAAATATTTTCAACCTTTTGATGATATTCTAATTTACTGGCCAGCACCTGTATATATATATCAGACGTCATGCTAAACAGTCACTCGACAGACAAGGTTAAAAAAAGTATGATCGACCTTTTGCCCCATCATTTTCATTTTTATGTTTATGTATTATGTATTTTTGAAATAGTAATTAATAAACATTCAATACCATTACAATTTCCTTTGATTTAATTTTAAATAAATATTTAGAGTGCCCAGGTAGCACATAAACAATGCAATTAAACGGTTTTCTTAAAGCAGGAAAGTTTAACCAGAGTTCTCTCCTTCCTTCTGCTCTGCGTAAACCTGAACTGGTCACCTTCTTGTGCGTAATCAAATGTCTATAGGGGAAAAGATGGAAAAGCTATAGCCATGAGGTTCACTTTTGCCTCAGACCGACTTATTGCTGTTTTATGGTGTGGCTGAATCTGCGATCCGCTGCCACGTGGACTGGAATAACAAATGCTGCAGTAACATGAGTTGTAGTCAGGTTCATGAGGAGTCATTGGCTGGAGCGGACCCGACGGGCCCGGCCCGCCCATTTGCCGATCTGGCCCGCCCAGGACAGATTACAGCACCGCATGCAAATGTATTGGCTCGAGACGATCAACAGAGGGCGCTCTAGGTTATTAATCGACAGTTTTAGATGCAGTAGAAGAAGACGCTTTGGTACAGTAGCTTGCTAAAATGGATATCAGAGCTTGGTTTAGCAAGCAGAAAAACAATGCTAGCACAAGCAGGGATGACGCATCATCAAAAAGACCAGTGCAGCCAGAAGTTGCAGCTACAAGCGCTTCTGTTCCTCCTTTCTCCGTGCCTCCAGCACAGTCTCAGCAGGTAATTGCACCACAGAGTGGCAGCAGCACCAACATAAATCTCTGTTCTGATGACCTCAGGGTGGATAAGCCTAATCAGGTGCGCCTGGAAAATTATCCAGTTCGACTTTTCTCTGGGAAAAAAACGCAGTTTTTCTTCATCATGGTACCAAAATAGAACATGGTTGGAGTATTCAGTGAAAACAGATGCAGCATACTGTTTCCCCTGCAGACAGTTTAGTTCTCATTCCTCATCAAACTCTTTGTTACCATTTTGAATTCAGGGGTGTCTGCTGTCCTTTTTATTCAAATGTTTTAAAACGCATATTAAAGTTGAAACTGTTTTTGAACCATCTTAAATACAGGGTTGTCTGTTCTCTTTTTAGAAAAAAAAACACTCTAGATTTTCTAAATCTTGTTTAGAAGACCTAGGTTACACTTCTTACCAGCTGGTAGCAGTAACGCACCAAGTCAATGTTTACCCAGAAGAAGAAGCACGCAGCCAAGAAGTAGCATGCTAACCTGATGCTAACTAGTATTCGTGATGTAAACATTATGAGAAATACGTGCAAAAAGAAGAATTTACTAAGGTATCAAGCTGCAGGGCAGGATTTGGAAGAAGACTTTTGGACTAAGTACGTTATTGGAGAACATTAACTGGACCGACGTTAGGATTGTTTTGAGATGGTGACTCTGTGGTGTGCAGGCGCAGCTAAGAATGGTGAGTTGCAAGTATTTTTCTAAGAGGTTCAGTAAAATTGGTTACTTTGTCTTAAGTTTTGATTGCAGCTTTAATTGGCATACATAATCGGAATAAAACAATGAAGAATCTTAGCTTTTCAGTTAGTTATGTAGAACAAGTTGGTGACGCAAAACGACGGATTTGACCCGGAAGTATATGTATGTAACGTCCACCAGACAAATTATAAACATGCAAAGGGGTTGAAAAAAAACACGGTTTACTGGGACCCCCAGAAAAACCCACTGCCCCTCCAGGTGAAGTCCTCTGGCGCCGGGTCTGATTCTGCCTTCAGTCTGACGGCACAGCGAAGCGCCGGAGTTTGCCCAGTGTGCGCTTGTTGAATCAGTATGTGTGTGTGTGCGTGTGTGTGTGTCACAGCTCCGTGAGCCGCTCCAGTCACCGCGTCTCGTTATTGGCGCTATTTAAACCAATGTTGTAAAATTACTTCTGCCCAGCCCAGATGTGCTCACTTATGCACCCGTGAGCCGTGGTTACGGTGGAACGCGTCTGACCTCTGACAGACGCACTCTGAACTTCAGATCTTCAGCGCGCTGTTAATAGCCTGAACGGGAATCATTTCTTGATTTATTTAGTTACATCCATAATGTTCTGTGTGTGAGGTTTACAATGTCAGAACACCTGCATGAGACAGGGTGTTAATTACAATCTGCCAGAATGACTCACCACCTTCAGATTTCTCCAACACCGTTAAAAATGATCAAATACGGAACATATCTTGCTATTAACAGCGTGCTTAGGTCAGAGTGCTGAAGCTCGGAGTGCATTATTATGAAGCTAGGGCACATGCGGACAGACACACACACACACACACACACACACACACACACACACACAAGCAAAATATACTTGTTTTCAATTACATTTATTGGGCCCACTTATTTTTTCTTTGGCCCACCCACAAATGAGTTTCTGGCTACGCTAATGGTGACATATGACAGACTTCTCTGAGCTCCACAGCCATTAAACTTTTCACCTACGCACCCCCTAGCGGCAGCTCGCGCACCGCTGGGGGGTGCGCGCACCACACTTAGGGAGTCCCTGTTTTAAACCAACCTGCTTTATTCTCTAGGACAAAACTGCAGACTGTCCGCCTTCTTTAATGAATCAAGTCTTACTGTTATGAGTTGGACTCATAAGTGCATGTCTCACCCTCCGTAGACAGACAGCACACACTCAGTCAGGAGATGCAGGGAAGATTTATGATCGATGAGCTGAGTTGGCTGCTGCTCAGGCAGGATCACCAGAGCAGATCACATTTTTTTAATAATAATAATTTAGACTTTATCCGCTTGGGGGAATTGTCCTTTGCATTTAACCTATCCGTTAGGAAGAATGGGCTCCTACAGCGCCTAGGGACAACGTTCATGGTTCTGTGTTGAGCCTTAGGGATGCTTCGACACCTGACCATGGGGGCCTGGTATCAAACAACTCACGCTCTGATCGGTGGCGAGCCACTATCCCCATCCAGCCACGGTGGAACCATCACAATAAAAGTGTTTTTCCAGGATCACTACTTGGCCCAAAACAGCGCAGCAGTGCACGATTTAGACAAAATATTATGAGGTGATCAGTAAACAATGTAGGGTAACTTGTTTGCTCCACAGAAACACAACTCAGCTAAAAAATGGTGGTGTTGCTGGACATTTTGCTCAGTTTTATGGCTTTTCTGTCAGACTCTGAACCAGGAAATGGCTGCAGGCAGTGAAACACAAGGCAAAAGACTCTGGAACAACCAGTGACTATGCCCCCTAGCCAATCGGCAACCAGACTCACGACGTCGGCCTGACTCAGGCCTAGTCCACACGTAGCCGGGGTTTTTTAAAAACGAATATCCGCCCCTCCAAAATTTTGCATCCACACCACCGCGTTTAAAAAAAAAACTGTCCACACGTACCCAGATAAATATGTTGTTAAGGACATGCCAGACCTGTAGGTGGCAGTACTTCCCCCGTTCTTAACCCCGTCCTTCGTCTGTGGTCTTCCGCAAGGAGCAGTAATTCCGCTTGCAAAAACAAACAAGCAGAAAGCGCTTGGACAATTGATGGATCGGGTAGTGACAGAGCGCAGCTCTGAGGGCTTCCATGATGCCGGCTAGTGTAAACACAGGTCGCACACGTGATGTCAGCATTTTTTTGTCGCGGAAAATGACGTTGCGGACCTTAAAACTCCAGTTTTGTCCGTCCACACGCAGACACCCAAAACGGAGAAACCGCAGATCTTCACTTTGGCCGGAGTTTTTAAAAAGATCCGTTTTTGTGTGAAAAAAACTCCGTTTTCGTGTGGATGACAGGCCAAAACGTAGAAAAATATCTACGTTTTGGCAGATCCCCGGCTACGTGTGGACAGGGCCTCAGACTTTCCAGGTACCTCAATGGAGCAGAGGTCTCTCTCTCTCTCTCTCTCTCTCTCTCTCTCTCTCTCTCTCTCTCTCTCTCTCTCTCTCTCTCTCTCTCTCTCTCTCTCTCTCTCTCTCTCTCTCTCTCTCTCTCTCTCTCTCTCTCTCTCTCTCTCTCTCTCTCTCTCTCTCTCTCTCTCTGGAAGCCCCACTCAAAGGGAGTTTGCAGTGTATTAGTGACTCATATATTGTACAACCACAGTCATAAAGTTTTCAATCAGTAATTTTATTTCAGTATGTATTTTTCCAGTATCACAAAAAATATAATTTTATGTGGTTAAAACCATCTAGCTTATGTGCACTTTTTAAAACACTGCCCAGCAAACATTCGGACGTTTAATGACAGACACAACTGTAAAATAATATCACAGGAATTAGGAAAAAATAGCATAACACCTACTCTATTTTCCTTGCCTGGACTCGAACCTGGATCCTCCGGGGGGAGAGTCACCTGCTCTACCAGCTGAGCTATGACAACAACTACTGAATATCAGATTTTTTTATATAGCTCCCATCATTTTGGTCCGACAGGAAGCCAATGGGCCAATGAGGTAGAGGGTAAAGTGCGGGCAAAACTAACCAATCAGAGGACAAAGAAGATCTGCTACAGGCCACGCCTCCAGAGTGCCAAAACCCCTTAACAGCCGAGCGAGCGGAGTCAGAAACTGAGCGCGCAGAGAGGCTGCCGAGCGCGCAGAGAGGCTGCCGCGCGCACACGTTTTCCTCTGCCGTGTGCTCGTTGGCAACGCGCGCACGCAGGTTTGTCACTTGTGCACATCCTTGTGCGCTCACAGACACAGTTTGCTCCCTCTCAGTGCACAAATGACCTCTCGCCATGTATATTTTCACTCGCGAGTCCCGTTCACACGCGTGATGTGGACCCACTCCGCGTGCACGGGTTTTGGCACGGGTCTAACGCCATAGATATGTGCCTTATGGATATACACAAGTTCAAGTACATTAAAATAAACACTCTAGTGCTTATGGGACTTAAATATTTTAGATCAAGAAATATCTCATTTTTAGGGTGCATCCCTAGTAATTTTGTTAATAACTTTTAATAAATATTGGTAATGGCAGACCAGTTTACCCTTAAACATCACAAACAGAATTGTTCTGCTTATATTCCTCAGCAAAAACTTGCAAAAGTAAGAGTTTGGTTATGTTGTTCAGGGTAAGGGGTGAAATACGCTGGGTCTGTCTGCTTCTCCTGCACAGGACTGCTGGTTCCTAACTCAGAGAGGTTGTTCTTGGGTCATGGTTTGCTCAAAACAAAACAACCTCATAAATAATCCATTTTATGTTCCAAGTAGCAGACAGCAGTATGTTGTCTTTAGCTTTAAGGTGTGTGCAGACAGCAGCTCTTCTCCCCATTTAACATTTTCTCTCGCATCACTTCCTGTTCCTCCTGATGGATGAGCTTGGTGTATCCTCAACCACTCACTGTATTGCTGTACTGGACTGCACTTCTTTTCCAGCAATAATTCTCAGTTCTATATGCCTGTTTTTGGTCTTGGTGTAGGACTGTGACTGCTTGGCCAGTCAGGCTCAACTTGCCAGCATCCTACTTAGAAGAGAAGGGCCTGACTTCATTGCTAAGGAAGGTAGGTGTGCAATGCATGTAAGCCACAAGTTGTCAGATTTAGATGGAATGTATTTAGCATGTTTTACAATCTGTAACTCAGTTATTCTAAAGACAACTAGTCACATTGTATCTATAAAATGTTCTAATTCCAGAGAACATGATGGAGGAGCTGGAGAGAATCTACAGAAGAGCTGGCAGCAGAAAGCTTTGGTCTGGTATTCACACGCATTCACACAAATACACAAATCCTAATTATAAAATATCTAAAAATGCATCTTTGGCCTCTTTTTCATTATGAATTAATGAATTATCGATCATTAGAAGTCTTTTTCATTATGAATTAATGAATTATCGATCATTAGAAGTGAACGAAAATCGTTGCCTTGTTTTTAGGAAGACTCGTTTAACCCCTCTCTTTGTTCCTGACATAATTTCTTTGTGTGTGTTCCTCACAAACTTACGTTGGAATCTAAAAAACATAACGGTCATTTATTCTGGGTGGGCAGGCTGGCAGTACGGCGTGCTGCTGCCATTACCAAGAAGTTTGCCAGCTCTATAGCTCCTCATATCACCACAATTCTGGTGCATGGGAAACAGGTAATGTTCAGGCAGAGATGGGGTGAACACCACTGCATGTGTTAACTGATAGCTGGCTAGCTGGAGAGCTGTGTGAGACGTTCAGCCAGTCCTTTTTAAGATTCTATGGGAAAATATACATTTCATCAAGATTTTTCTTTTTCTAAATAAAGTTGCTAAAACCTAGCCTAGCCTGCCAGGCTGTCTCTGTTTAACTCTGCACAGAGAACTAGTCTGGTTTCTCACAGGCAGAGAGGCACATGAGGGGCGGGACTTGCCAGCTCAACAATAACCAATCAGAAAAAAGATGGAAATGCTGACTGTACCGCGCAACGCTGTAGTTTTTTAGCTGTAGTCAAAAATGGCGTCTGGTGACAGCGCAAACATCTTTCTTTAGAAGAAAGGCTTTTAGCGCTTCTGCTTGTTGTGGTTTTAAAGACATTCAAGTAATTTAGAACAGAGGACAGAGCCGCAGCGAACTCCGCTTCAGTCGCCATGTTTATGACTAACTCGGCGTTGTGTTGTGTGACGAACGCCACTCAGCGCTGATTGGCTTGGTTAGAATTCTCAGGGGGTGGGGTTATTTGAGTAGAAGAGTTCCCAGACTTTCTCTGTGCAGAATTAAACAGAGGAGGAGTCTGGCAGGCCAGGCTAGCTAAAACCAGCTTTAAAAAAACAGGTATTTTAAAGAAAAGTCATGTAGTGTAATTACTGAATTCTAATGTTCATGTCAACACCACCCTACCTTAATAACACAGTTACACTTTTCTCACTCTGGGTTTGTTTTCATTATTACAATTATTATTCACTTTGTTCTTGCTCTGGCTAGCTAGAAGTTAGCTTTTCTTCCCCGTCAGCCCAATGTTCCAAACGTTTGGAGCCTTTTAAGCTAAACTGATTTCATTAACAAACTCTACAGAACTCCAGTCCCTTTAACTTGCTGTACTCCAGTCTAAATACTTGGCTCACAGTTGTAAAATCTGGCTAACTCTCACACAGCCATAAGCTTGTTTTAGCCAGCTAGCTAACACTTGTTAATGCTAGCAAGAACTTTGCCTTGCGAGGTTTTCGGGAGCTGAGTTTGATGTCGCCGTTGGCTTTCTCTCCTCATTAATCACCACAGAGGCTGGACCCTCCCATGTGCTTCCTCCCTGATGATCCCAGGCTGGCTTTACACTACAAATTAAATAGAATTGAAATGGAGCCTGTAACAGGTGCCACAGATAATCACTGTAGAAGGAAATTATTTATCTTTTGTCTTTGGAGTGGATACATCTTAAGAAGCTTCATGACATAAAGCTGGTTTAAACTGCTTTACAAGAT